CATTTTAAACTTTAGAATCTGATCTGTTTTCTTTTTAATTCATGAGCTTGAGCCCAGAGGTTTTAAAGAGGGGAAAATAGTTTCATTGAAATGGATGGATGGCTGGAAATAATACATATATAAACAAATAGAAAAATAGATCACGCAGGAGGAAGAATCTTACAAAAATCTGGCAGTTTCCCTTCAACTGGAGATGGGTTCCAGCTGTTCCTGGAGATGGGTTCCAGCTGTGTGAACCTGGAGGCCCCCTCCTGGTTCTGATTATATAATGTTTATATAAAGGGAGTGGAGCAAACAGATTTAAGGATCCCCAATCCTGGCAAAGACATGAAAACCAAGGACACTGCTCTTGAACAAACGAAGAGGAAAGTCATTCACCTTTTCCCTGGGTATGACTGGGTTAAACAGTAACCCACCTGAATGGATTAGGGAATTTGTTCTGAAAGGCAAAGTTTGATAAACATGGCCTTTTGTACCAAAGCTGCCCTTTTCTGATGTCTGTGATTCTTACTCTTGCCAATGACAGAATTGAGGTTTTGTTGTTCACGTGCGGTAGTCTGGATCCATAAGATACAATCTTGGATTTTACAGGTCAACTCCAAGAGCTGCCTTGGAAGAAGTGGCAGAGTAAGCTACGGTCTTCTAGTAAGATGTTTTTCCACTCTTCTTTCTATTTCTCCACATAATTTGGTTTCATGAAGGATGCTAAGCAGGCTATTCCACAGATTTCACAAAACCAAAAAAGCACTTCGAGAGGTTATGTGACAGCTATTAGTACCCTGCCCCCTACCTCAACCTCCCAGCTACTAACCCCCAGCAATATCCTGGCCATGTTTTCTGGACTTCTCCTTCCTTTCATCTTTACTTGTCTCGAAGAAACTAACCCTGAACTCTCAATCTTCGGTTCCTTGTAACACAGTTGCAAAATATTATAGATTATCTTCACCATTAATGCAATGCTGATACTGCATCCACTCACAAAGTAGATTGGTAGCTTGCATAGAAACAGTGGGCCAAAGGTCACCAGGATCACTTTATAGATCCTACATTTTCAAATATCAGGCAGCAGCAGGGTACCAACTGTTTCACAGACCCCCAGCACTCACCAACAGTGGTGTTGGATCTAGAATAGTGTTATCTTTTTAAAAATCCTTCTAGTTTACTGATAATTCCTGAAATATCACTGATATGCCTTCATTTTTGAGGTACTGGTCCCCACCCCAATGCAAAAGTCCCTAGGAGAGTAAACTATTTAAACAGCTGTCAGTATCCTGGGCATTATCTTAAGAACAGCTTTTGGTAACTGGAAGGGACTGAGGACTTTAGGAGGAGGAAGAGTGGGCAGTGGAGCCTGGAGAAAGAAAAACTTCATCTGCTTTTTAGCTTTGTTGGGGCACAGCCCTGCCTGACCTTGTTTTCCTTTTCTCTTCCCTTCTGTCTGCACCCCCAACCAAATCAAAGGTTGGGAGTAGTGAGAAGAGAACTAAGCAAACTGCCATCAACTGCTTTCACTCAGTACCATGTGTCTCTGGGAAGAAAGGGCCAGGCAAGCCTCTGACCAGCACCACCAAATGCCAAAGTTTCTTCTGCCAAGTGCCAAAGTTCAAAGTGATTTAGGAACAAAGAGAAGTAATGTAATGGGATGTGGGGCCCACAGAGTGGGGCCTTTACTGGCATCTGATAGAGTAACCAAATGCTTAATTTCCTTTCATGGACAAATAGGTACCATTTAAATTAATCACATATCACTTTTTAAACAGACACTGCAGAACTGAGTTCTAAAAAGTTATCAACCACTCATTTGTTAGGGAGGAGAGCTGCCAGATTCATTGCAACATCCCGATTGCCTCAGCAGTCCCTGACGGATGCAGCAGCCAAACTAACTGCCACAGCCTGAGATGACTTGTTCAACATGGTCCTTCTCTGATAAATTGCCCAAAAGCAGAGACAAGGTATTCTACCCTCACACACACACACACACACACACACACACACAGTGTCTCATGGCCTGAAACACCAATTCAAGCACCAACTTGCACAAACAGAGCAGCCTCTGATTTTAGAGTTATGCTGTGGGGTAGCCTGAAGCCTCTGAACACAGACAGGTCTCTTCTCTGCTCTGGGCGTTCACCTAACAATCTTTGAAGGATTCGCAACCTGCCCACATAGTTGACAGTGCAAAAAGCCAGTTGTTTCTTTTTCTTTTCAAATTGACACAAGGAGGTTACATTGAAACAGAAAATCGAGTTTTGAAAAAAAAGTTTTTACTATTTCATTAAAATGCATCTAGTTACTTATTTGTGTTTCAAAATAGTTACAAGAAATTATTATGATTAATGAACATTTATCTTTGTATCTTTGTCAGTAATTTTAATATGTGTGAAGCAATTGCCAATTGAAAAAAATACTCACATATTTAAAAAGTGTTTTGATAACTTGAACTTGAAAGTCATTCTCCTTTTCCTAGAATTTTTTTGTCTCTCCTTCGAGCCAATAGTGTCCCTGCACATAGACATGGGAAGCATGGGTTCTCCTTCCAAAGACTCTGGCATTGAAGTACTTTCCTCCTTTACACACAGTATATATGTTGAATTCTGTCCTTTGGACTAATTATAAGATTAAGTGATGGAAGGAATGGATTAGATAATTTCTAAATTCCTTTATAACTCTAACATTTTTTAGGTCTATAAGCATGAGACTTATTCTGTAAGAGAAGTAATAGTTAAAGGAGGAAGAGCTCACATGAAAAGAAGGGTCACGCCTTCAGGAAGCAGGGACACTATTGACTGAGGGAGAATGGGGACAAAGGCCTGCTGATATGTCTAGACTTCCAAACAAAGACAAAATTTAAACATCCACTTTTCAACAAACTCTGAGCTTTGTGCCCATTCCCTTTCCCAGGTATTTCAAGGTGTTCTGAGAATAACTGTTTACAGAGGATTACTCTTTGCTCAAATACAGATTAAATGAAAACTCCCAAAAAGGGGTTTCACAGGCCTGCATTGGTCCACTTTTTTATCCATCTACTTTAATTTGAGTCACATTGGCAAATGCTTCCAACAATAACTTGACAAACCTCTTACTCTTGCCTGCTTATAACCTGACATCTGCTCTCTCAACAATAGCCGAAGCCATTCCTCTTTTCCTGGAATGATTTTTCCCATCCTCTGTGCCAAAGTATAGTTTTTCTCGACACTACTAGAATACCTTCTTTTATATGAGTCATGTTGCTAACTCCTCACTACTCCATGGGTCATAGAATAAGAGAGGGAGGGACCTCTGAGACCAACTGAGGACCCCTCATTTTACAGATGAGATAACTAAGGAACAGAGTAAGAGACATGCATTGTCTAAGGAACATATGGCGTTCCTGGGACTAGAATCTTTCCAATGCACCACACAACTTTTATATTTGATACTAGTAATTTCTAGAAAATCAAAGCTAATTTTAAATGTGTAACAGAAAGTTGCTGTTTAAAGGAAACCTACACTGAATATTTCCATAAATTCCAAAAATATTTTACTCCCCTTTTCATTGGTAAAAGAGTTGCTTGAATTGAAGTTGTTAGCATGCGCATCTGTACACAGGCTGAGAAAGATTTCTAACACAAAGATTAGGATATAAAGAAGTAAAAAGTTTATTTGTTTTCTTAGAAAGAAAGAGATAGAAAGGGAGAGAGAGAAAAGGGGGGAAGAGATAGAGAAAGAAAGAAAAGAGAAAGGAAAGACAAAGAAAGAGAAAGAAAGAGAAAGAGAGAAAGAATAGATACGGCACAGCACTGAAAAAAAAGTAGCGGAAAGTGTCAGCGCTGAGACCACGCAGCTTGCCACTTTTACACGGACCAAGAGAAAGGAAAAAAAAAATAGTGATTGCTGCTACTTGATAACAGAAGCAACTGTTTTTGTTTGTTTGTTTGTTTTCTGTTCTTGGAGACTTGCTTATCTCTTGTTCTGGAGAATATTAAGAAAAATCCTTTTCTCTGCTCAGCTCCTTTCAATTGCTGTGTAAACATCTTTACAGGTAACAAAAAGTCTTAAAAGACAGCGATTGAGTGAAGTTAAGGCTAAGGTCCCCTGTGGTCAATCTTGGAGACAGAAAATTAGATAGTTCTCTCTTAGATAATTCATTAACAAAGCCATCCTTTCAGAAGTGTCTGTAACAAACTTATCCTTCACTAACTAGTTAGTAGCTCTGGGGTAGCTCTTTGAATACCTGAGGCTGCTTCTAGGAAGTTGGCCATGCGCTGTTCAGATAATTTTGTCACTTGGGTTTCTAAGTGATTACATTGATGACTTGATTATAAGATTCTTACTGTCATAGAGGGAGGGTCTTGGTTCATTTGAGATTTCCCTAGCCCCCAGAGTAGTGCCGAGATTGTTTTTACTGGCCTTCCCAAATAAAGATGAAAGCTACGCATGGGCTTACCCATGTGCTGTTATCATTTGACGTGCTGTCTCAGAGAGAGAAAACTGAGGATCCCAACCTCGCAGTAAGAAGGCTTAGAGAAGAGGGTACTGGCAAGTGTCTCCAAGAATTTCACAACACTGGCTGACTCGTTAAGGGTGGGGAGAAAGAGGAGAGTGAACAGAAAACGAAAACACCCGTCCCCAAATGTTAGTTAGGCTTGCAAAAATTGGACAAGGCCTGCTTCACAAATCTGGTGATCGACCTGGGTACCAAGCGAACTTCCCTTAGCCCTGGGCAAGCGCAGGCCTCCCCGACCTCGGCTGGCTGATGCGTGGTCCCCCTCCGAGCCTAGGTTCTAGCCAGCAGGGCATTTGCGCTGGCGTCTCTGCCCAGCTGCGGAAAGTAAGAACCGGGGTGGGAATGCAGAATCGCTAACTCGTACACGAACTGGACCTTTACTTCCCTCCCCCAGTCCGGTCCCGCAGACGCCTCCCCGAGGGGCCCCAGACCGCGTCTGCCAGCTCGGGCCTTCCGGGCCAGAACGCTCCCGACGAAGCTGCCAAGAGAGAAGAGAGCAAGCGTGGGAACGCACCTCGGCCTCGGAACACGACGGCAGTGGAAAGTTTTGTTTCTCACCCGCTGCCTCCTCCCTAGCACGATGATGGGGAGCTGGAGGAAACGCAAAGATGTTCTTTTGAATCTTGCTTTGGATCTGCGTGGGGTCGGCGTGCGCGCGTCTGTGCACCCGGACGGGACGGGGCTGCAGTGAGGAGAGGAGGGTCGGCGGGCGAGCCTGTGCGGAGTGGGGACCGCGCCCCATTTCCCCGGGGAGGCCCCTCCCGCCTGGATCCGCCTCCGGAGCTGGCGCTGCAGCCGCCCCCGCCCCACGCGCAGCTGGCGGGTCCCCGCCCGGGCAGAAAACGAGCCTGGGCTGCGCGCTTCTGCCTCGGCGGAGCCCAGTGGGCAGCGGCGGCGAGGAGATGGCGGGAAACTGGCCCCGGTTCCCAAGAGCGAGGCAGGCCCTCGGAGGGGTCCCCTGGCGGAGCGTCTAGGAACCTAAGGAGTTTAGTGCGGAAACTGGTCACTAGACCATCTGCCATGTATGTGCTCGTTCAATGCTGCTCTTTGGCCGGACAGTTAAAACATGATAAAGTTTGTACGGAACTTTTTTCAGCAGTTGACAAGGGAAAAAGAACGAGGGCTCGTCCGGGATTTGAACCCGGGACCTCTCGCACCCAAAGCGAGAATCATACCCCTAGACCAACGAGCCACGGCGTTTTAATATTGCTTTTGTTCCCTATGAATTGTAGCCTTCCTCCAGCAGCAGGCCACAAGACTGCTCCAAAGTTTTGCTTTTGTTGTGACACTTATTTTTTGCTTTGTTTAGTTATTTCTTCCATCTTTACCAAGTTTCATGTCTGACTCTGGCCCAAGACTCTTTTATTCTCCTCCATCCACTTTCCGGACCCCTCCAGACGCAGGATGGGGTGAGGGAAGGCAGCTTTCCAGACCTACCGCCACACGCTTGAGTCCCACAGAGCCAGGTCAGGGCGGGTCTAGCGGCGCGGCGGAGGCCGGAGGGAGCCGAGTCAGAGCTCAAGGGCCAGAGCGGAGCTCAGATGCAAGGCCGCGGAAGCCGGAGGTAGGTTGGGGGTAAACAAACAGGTTGGAGGTGAACCAGTTGGGCGCGTGTTCGGATATTGTAGACCCCTCGCAGTTTCCCTGATAATTAACAAGCTTTCTGTCTCCCCATCTTTGCTTACGTTGTTTCCTCCGTCTGGAATTCACTCTCCCAGTCTCATCTCAACTCATGTCGAATTCTATTCTTACTTCCTGCCTCGGAAGTAATTTTTTAGAAATATATAAATACTTGAATAAATTAAAACGGATATCTGTGTGTAGAGTGGGGGCAGACACCAGGGCCGAAGGTCACAGTTTAGGGGTTTGTTCCGCAAATCAGAGACCCTCAGGCCGCAGGGCGCATACATGCACAAACACGCACACACACAACGTTCTGTACCAACGAGTAGTCTTTGATCTCCGACCTTTGGACTTCGGACAACCTAGAAGCAAGTAGAGCCTCCCAAAAATACGCCTTCAGTAAGATAGCTGTTCCAGAAGGGTCCCCAGGATCAGTTTTTCAAGGCGTGATAAAGGAAGCTTAATTCGAGACTAAGTCAAGTATTTCCTTCGGACGGGAGTAAGGCGTGGAGAAGAGAGATTTCAGATCAGTCTATAGAGAACAAACGAAGAAAGGGCAGTACGAACGTGAAGCCCAAAACAACAGCTGCTCCTTCGAGCCGGAGTCGAACCAGCGACCTAAGGATGACTATATGACGGGTACTACAGTCCTCCGCTCTACCAGCTGAGCTATCGAAGGGAGCACGAAAAGTAGCTCTCTAGAAATCCATATTCAGAAAATAGATAACCAGAGGTTGGCGACAAAGACTCCCCGGCCCCTGCCCCAGGTTCTGCAAAGTGAACCCGGCGAAGTTGCAGAGCCAGCTTGGGAGTTAGTCTTGCGTCCGCACTTCTGGGGACAACCCTTCTAGAACTGGGTTCTCTTGTTTCACTGAGGGCCTTCCAAGCGGAGCCCACGCTGGAACACGCGCATCCCGAGGCCGCACGTCCTCTGCTAGCCCGGGGGCTGTTGCCTCGCCGAGCGCGGGCCCGGGGACCTCCCAGGCGTGGCGGGGGGTGGAGGTGGAGGCGGGCGGGCATCCGAGAACTGGGGCTGAGGCGGTGGGACACACAATTCTGACCGCACCCCTGCGAGCTGGGCAGAAGGGAGGGCCTCTGGCTCAGGCCTGGGGCCGCTGCGGTTTCCTCACTTCCTGTGCTCGCCTCCCAATCCCGGGCCGTCTGCACCGGCGACCTGCTCTTCCGCGTACACGTCCGCAGACTTGGGGAGGGAGAGGGTGTGGAATAGAGTACAAGTGGGTAAACCCAATGTTTCTGGGAGAGTTCGCTTTTGGGGAAAATATTTTTAGGCTATTCAAAAAGGAGGCCACAATTTCTTTGAGTCAGTATCAAATTTAGTGATCCAAGTCTCGTCTCCAACGTGCGGGCCCTTAATTTTCCCTGCCGAGATATTGAAGTGTCGAAAACCCCACGGACACGCGAAACCTGGCCGCACTGCGTACAGCTCCGGATGCCTGCCCGGACCGGCTGTAGCCGGCTCTTCCCCTTTGGGAAGGCAGACCTCGTTCTCGACTCCGGATCTGCCCAGAACCAGCGCTCGAGGGTTCGATCGTGTTCTCTCGCCTGGCCGCCCCCATTCCACGCTCGAGCGCTGTAGGTTCTGGCCACGGGTTCTGGTTCCCAGGAGGGTTGTCGCCGCGGGTCCGCACAGCCGGGGAGTCAGCGTAGGCTGGCAGCGGTTCCCACCCATGGTGTGGTGGACTCTGCCACAGGCCAGGGAGCAAAGCGGCACTTGCGCACTAGTACCAGAACATACAGGGAAGCAGGTTCCGCTCAGCTGGTGTGCATTCGGGAGCTCTGGACTGCGGCGACAAGCTGTAATTAGCCAAATTTCCTCAGGCTTAGTTAAGAGTAATGAAAGGAAAATTTAAAAAGACCTCCAACTACTTACCAGGCCCCAGCGAGATTTGAACTCGCGACCCCTGGTTTACAAGACCAGTGCTCTAACCCCTGAGCTATAGGGCCACACGGGAAGCGGTTTTCTTTGTTTCTCAGAAAAGGGAAGTTTTTGCTGGCCCTTCACTGAAATACCTGAGTGTAGACCCTAAACAAAACCCGGACGTCATTCCAATCCACTTTCCAACTACTGGAATTCAGTCTACGGGCTCTTTGTGGTCTTGCTGGGGATGAAGCAACGTGGAGGCCAACGACAGGGACAACCGGTATTCTAACATTGGAGAAATCTGCCCAACCTGACTCAATCTAACACAGAAAGATTTTGTTTTTCCCTCCCCCGCTTCAGATTGTGAAAATTAAGAACGGAAACTCAGCGTAGAGGAAGAAGGAGCCTACCACAGCTCTCAAGTGAATCTGCTGACATCCGCATTTGGGTTTCTTCTTTACTCAGGACTTCTCCAGCCGCCTGCCGCTTCCAACTTCCTTAGACATAGGGACTTTTCTTGCAGGTCTGAGTCTCACCGCCAAAGGAGGCATTCGTTAATTACTGTTTAGTTCATTCCTTGATTCAACAAACACTGAATTCCCATTCTGTGCCAGGCTCTGCACTAGGAACACTCAGGAAGTGCCTCCGGAAAAGGCTAAGCAGGTGTTGAAAATCACAGCCAGCTACAAGCACACCACTTCCATTTTTGATGACTTCCCACACTATGAGAAACGCCAAGAGGAAGAAAACGTTAAAAAGGAACGTCAAGGTCGTGGGAAATGAAAGGCAGTTCTGCACAGACTGCAGCAACGGTTGCATCTGCATATCCTAAAAGGAAAAAATGACCTTCAAGAGAATAAGGACTTTTTTCTTAATTTCATTGACTTCAAAGACGACTGCAGACTTGCAGTTTAAATATTGGAATTTCACAAAAGACATAGGACTTAACTGGAAAATGAAAAAAAAAAGAAGAAGAAAAAACTAAACAAAAAATTCCTCTAGGTAGTTTAGGTGAAAAATGTCCCTTTTATTTTGGCTTTGGTTGTGATTTCAGAGCATAATGTTTTGGTTTTTTGTCTTTTTACTATGTTTTTCGGATTTTTAAGTCCGTAAGTGCATACAGTTTTCTCTAATTTTTAAAAACCCTTTCCTCCTCCCATTTTGACATTTGTACTTGGAGAACACTTGAGTTGCAAAGGTTTTGGGCATCCACCCCAGAAGCGGGAATTTGGTTTTTCCCTTCCGAACTGGAAGAACATTTTTATGAAGAATTTTTGTCTAGGAGAATTTAACAGTGTTACCCCAAGGTTGTGTCTTTAAGGGTGGTTCATTTTCTCTGACCCTTTGTTACTCAGAGTAAAGTACTAGGAATCCTAAGGAATGCTCTGTTCTTGTACATTATACTGATTAAGTCAGGATTAATTTTATTTCCTAGCTAAGAACAGTGGTTAAAAACTCGTTTACAGAAATGCATTTTGGAAGAGAAAAATATTGTAAAACGTATAGTGTATGTTTCTTCAGTTTCTTTTTCAGCCAATAAGGAAAGGGCATTGCCTTTCATTTTACCATTAATCACTTCTCAATAAACATGAGATCCTGTTGAGCATCAAAAAAAAATATATATATATATATATATGATCCAGATATAATCTTTATCCCGAAGTCACTGTCATAGTCTTGTGGAACAAAAGGACTTGAGTATTCACGAAAGAGAACAAAGAAAAGTGGCTGTATCTGGTGTGAAGGGACAGTGGCCATGCCAAGGTCCACCAAAGTGAGCCATCCAGCAGGGCCTTCAGGAGGGCACAGGGGCTTGAGCTGTATTATGAAGGGAGGTTAAGATTTAGACAAGTTTGGAGGCAGCGTGATCCCTGCTAGAAGGAAATTATGGGCAAAATCAAAGAGAAAGACTGCAGCATTCAAGGGGCCACAGGAGAACACTGGCTGGGGCAGATTCTCCTGCTCCTGGAAGTGAGGGTAGGTGAAAAGACAGGGTAATAGGAGACAGGGATTAAGTTAGGTCCTTTTAAAAACGGAAAATGGAAACTCACCCAGCATGGATTGCAGAATGAACTGAAGGGAGGAAAAACCACAGTCGGGAACACCAGAGATTGGCAATGGTGCAGATGCTCAAACATAAAGCTGCAAAAGGGTAACCTTATGGGACTGGAAAGGAAAAAATGAATGAGAGAGAGATAGGGA